AAATTAAACAAATCATGGTAGGAATTTTGACTAGAAATCATTGACTAGAAATACTGGAAACATAAAAAGAGTAACAAACTCCTTTCTACTATACTTCTACAGTCTCAAAACCCCTGTTCAAATCAAACTCCAAAAGGTAGGACAGTATAAGAACCCAGTCTGTCCATCATAAAGGTGAAAAACTATGGCACACTTTCTATGACATGGCAAGACTGCCAGAAAAGAGGACAACAGAACCATGGAAGCCGTTTTTAAATCTGCAGACATCATTTCAACAGCCCAAAGACAGACCTCCACATTTATTTTCATTTCTTATTAAGAGTTAAGCACCATATGACATCATAAAAAAATTAAACAAAATCTAGAAATGTTTGATATTGCAAAACTAATAAAAAAAACCCACAATATTTTGGGAGGTAACAGCAATCCCTCTATGTGTACAAAAAAAAACAAAAACCACACATCATACCTGGCAGTCTTAGAGCTGTCGACCACAGTGACGGTGCTGTCATGGCTGACCCAGGCCAGACGGTTCCCAGAGGCTGAGAAAGAGACGGAGTGGACCCATCCTCCTCCACCTACAGCATGGGGAAAGAAAAAACATGCTGATGTTTCCCCCCCATTTAGAATAGACTGAATTTCCATTAATGAGGACAAAAATACTGACCTGCTCCACCAAACTCTGCTAGTACAGCCCCGAATGGCATTTTACTGCCCCAGGGTGTGGGGCCTGGTTTTTCTTCTACCTCCTTAATGTAGGCTGAGAAAACCCTGGAGATCAAGAAGGAGCAGAAAATGAAGACAGAGACGAGGAAAATAAAATTAGCGGAAAACGGGGTTGGACAGTTTCCTTTTTACCATCTGCAGCTTTGCTTTTTTCTGTCTATGGTTTTTCAATCCTTTGTTACTTTATACAAACTGTACCTGCACTTGAAGTCACACGAGCCGGCAGCCAAGAGGACATTATTGGGATGCCAATCTAGACTGAGGATGGTGGAACGGATTGGCTTCTTTATGTGTTTGCTCACCCACCTGACCAACATGAGAAGCAAGAAGTTTAATGAATAAGGGAACTCCGTGAAAGAGACCCAACTAAATATCGGTACATCACTGTTGCTGCAGATGAAATCCTACGATATGCAATCTAAAAAAAAAAATCAAAAATCAAAGTCTGTACAATAAAAAAATCTGATCATTTTAATTTGAACATTAAGCTTAAGAACAGCACCAACTTCAGCATAAAATAATGCTCTAAGTGGATCTAACAGCAAAAAAATATAAGCTGTGATTTTTTTCTTCTTCTTTGATACTCTTAAAAAGGCAGTGAAATTAGACACCAACTCCAGCAGTGATAAAGGGAATAAAAGTAATAAAATCACAATTCTTCATAGTAAAAGAAAAGGGGAAAAAAGTAAATAACCCCTACCCATATTCTGTTGCATTTTTCAAAACTTGAAATAAAGTAAAACTCCAAATTTTTTCAAAACTTTCATTTCATTCTTACCAATCATTCTCAGATTCAAAGTAGCAGACAGAGATGAGTCGAGCTCCACTGCCAACGGCAAACTTGTTCTCCAGCGGAGACCACTTGACAAAGGTGGCCGCCCGGTTGATCCTGAGGATGACCAGAGTGGGTTTCCACACTCCTTCCTTCTGAGACCACACGTAGGCATTACGGTCTGCCCCACATGTCACTATACGGTCACTTTTGGGAGCCCAATCAATACCTAAAGGAAACCAACAAAAAATAAAATAAAAAGATAAACAATTAAAAAAGACTTTAAAATAATAATAATAAAAAAACATGTTTATGAAAAATAATGATGCAGTTTGAGTGAACTATGTCTTTAAATGGAGGTCACAGGTAAACCAACCCTAAAAATAACACCAGTCTGCTCAAGTAAACCGGTTTTTATTTGCCTTCCAAATGTGTCTATTTGTATTAAATAACCAATGAATGTAGCAATATGAAAAAATATAATAAGCTCTACATTATTTTAGTATCTATAGAGGCATTTTTGTTTAAATAAAAAGATATTCAGATTATTATCATTTTATTACAGTTAGAGATTTGATCTTCATAATCCATGTGGGGATGAAATTGTTTTGATAAGAAGTAAGAAATATATATATTTCCTAAGATAGACAAGAAAAAAAAATCTTACATTTTTAAGCTTCTTTAAAAAAAAATTAAAATCCAAACCTTAGAAATAAAATTTTGTTACTCTCCAAACAGCACAAAAACACTAAATATGGTCAAACAATAAAATATCTTTTTTATTTAATTACTAACTTTAACACATATATGTCAATTATGGTGTAAAATAACATACCTGTGATGTGTCCATTGTGCTCCTTCAGCTCATGAGTCTTCACCCACTGGTTCCCACTTTTCTTGTAGATATGAACTTCATGGTTATTTGGACTAATGGCGATTTCTGAAGGTAGAAAAGGAAAAGAAAAGCAACAAGTGTGATGAAAATAAGGATAACAAACCAGCTAGACCAGATTCCAGTGGGTGCTTAGACTGAAACAAAGCCCATCCTGACACATATTGTTCACCTTTTGTTACTCATTCACACATTAACAGCCGTTATTATTTGGGATTTGACACGCAGCCAAAGACAGTAGTTGGAATTTATAAAGAACCGTTTTGTTAGTGGTGTTTTTTTATACACTCTAGGTTCAGCCTTACGTGTCCTGTCGCGGTTCCACGCGTGGCAGGTGATGGGTTCCAATAGAAACTGATGAAGGGACATCTTCTCTGGGTGTGGTCCTTAAATGCAACTCTGCACGGCCACAAAACAAAAACTTAGTTAGCAGATAGCGACAGACAACTCATAGGGAGCGAACAACTAAACCGAAATTAAGCTCCTGGAATTACACCTGGCAAAACACAATATACAACTAAAAACACAACATTAAATATTTAAGCATACAGAACTTTGAGTATGTTTAGTAGTAATTAGCTGAATTAATGATTACACATAACTTATAGCACTGAACTATGGATAACTCCTCAAGATAGCACACATTAGCATCAGCGTACATAACCTACAAAAATAAAAACACACACACAGATATATGGAAAAAATTGTATGTATGAGCAACCGCGAAACTAGTTAGCTAGCAACGACGGGGGGAGGGTGGCTGTCCAGCGAAAAGTCTTTAACCTTATAAACACCTTATTGAAACTGCTAGCTAAAAAGATGGCTAATGCTATACAAATTTCTAGCCGTTTAGACGAAGCTAGTTTAGGTCGCTCCGTGTCTTTCCAAAGTAACCGTTTACTAGCATAAGGCCTGTCCTCCATGTATTTTCAGACCTCGGTGTTTCCTTAGAGCGGACTGCTTAGCTATAGCATCAAATCCTCCCAAAACCAGAGCCCAACTTACCTCGTCGGCCGGGGGTTGTGTCCGAGTGTGCGGTCTTGTTAGCCGGCGAGCTAAGTCACACGAGCCTAGTGGGTAAAGGACCGAGGTTAAATCAGAGGTGGACTTGAATTCGCGGACTCTGGTCAGTCGACACGAATTCGGTCCACGAATGTAGAGGGAATGTCAAGAAGACCAGGAAGGCGAGAGCGAGAGCATCCGGTGGCTAACTCGACAGCTAAACCCTCTTGATACCTGACTGACAGCTAGCTTAGCATCGTCACGCTAGTGGTTACATTCAAAGTGAACAAACCCGTTCACAGCGAATGTTTTTACAACAGCGAGCACAGCCTGCGCGAAAGAGCGCCCCCCCGTGGCTCCAATGGAAACATGCAAATCGACCTAACACTTTATGATAGATAGATAGATAGATAGATAGATAGATAGATAGATAGATAGATAGATGTGTTTAAAGTGTAATTAATCTAAAAATCAACAATTTTTTGCATATAAAGATAATAAAATTGCCTTTTTTATATTGATTCTGTGCAATTAACATTTTCAAGCGAGATTTTACAGCTCTGCAATATTTTCTTCTAAACCATATGAATGGTTGAATAGTAATTATTTGGTACATGCTAGAATAATAAACATGCTAATAAAGGACATATGGTTTCTGAGGCCTTCTTTCTGTTGGGTCTCACTTATAGAAATCTTCATATCAACAAAAGTTGGTTCACTAACTATCTTGCCGGAATAACTTGTTTAGGGATAATGTCTATCAGCCTTTCTGAAACACAAAATCCTGGGTATGAAGGGATTTACCCCGAACTACTGAGTTCTCACTTATCCCCTTTCTGAATTGGAGCCCAACTAAGGCACCTTTTAAAATGGTCAAGGCTCAGTCCGTATCCCTCAAATCAGTAAGGACACTTAAGCCAAGGCAGAAATGGGGGGGACGTAATAAGCGCTGTCCGAACAATTCTGGTAGCAAGGAGCTAAGACCGGGTAGCAGTATGCAGTTGGCATAGGGACCTCCTGACCTCCCTAGCCGCCGCCCGTCCACGATCCTTTGCATGACACCCTGTATAAGCAGAGCCTACCTCATGGAGGGAGGGTTTTATAATTGAGAGTTTGATCCCTGTGCTAAATTTGTGTAGCTTTTGTTCTTTTTCGGAAAACTATACTCCCAATTTGACCAGCGTATTCATGTGCTTGTCTGCCGTGTTCCTATGTCGAGCCAGGTGTAAGTAATCAATCCAAATGCAGGTCCACAGCTTTCTTCAATAGACCATGAGGTAACATCACAGAATCGTTGATTCGCCAAACAATTGCAAACCGACTAAATTCGTAGGCAAAAATATGATTTTCCTAAACTCAACTCAACTCAACTCAACTTTATTTATAAAGCGCTTTCAGTCAGCCAAAGCTAAAATCAAAGCGCTGTACAGGTCATTTGAGCAAGTCATTGGAAACTCTTAAGCCCTTATTTTGGTTTTGTGAGACATGCCTCTGTTTCCTTACTGTTTGACACATGGTTCACACCCACACAGTCTGAGAAAATTGTAATTAGCTTCACCTGGTAGGATTTCAGGTTTGGCTACTGCTGAAAAAAACTTGTGTGGTGCTCTTCTCTTTGTAGTGCTCCACTGAACTTTCCACATGGAGATGTTGCCAACATTGGAAGATTCATTTCCTGCACCGCCGCCATATTTTTTATCAGGTAAAGTACATAAAATATGGGCTGAAGCACGTTTATAAATCAGATGGATGTTTTAGTTAAATTCTAACTTTCCTTAAATTTCTCAATTAAAAGATGGTGCCCCAAAGAAAACTTCTGGCGTTTACATAGTCAACCCCTGTGATAAACGGCCTCAACAGCAAACTTCCATTGGGCCACCTTCTGCAGGTGTGTGTCTTTGTTCTCCAGGTATAGTTTGAATTTAAAAAGAAATCTGAATCTTGCTGATTGGTCAATCTGATCTTTAAGTTTTTCCTGACCTTAGTTAATCTCCATGTCCTTATGGTTTTTATTAGACCCTGATAATCCTCTAGTAAGGATCAGGGGACATAAGACTGACCCATGTCGAGCTCCAGCCCTGATGACTTGCAGCTTCTGTCAAAGTCAGGTTACCACGGAGGTCACTTTCCGAGTGGGGACTTTTGCTTGGCTAATGTGTTTCCTATTTGTGCTTTGTGGGTAAGAAATATGCATTTTAAGACCAAACTTTTGCTTACCTCATTTGGTGGAACTGATCTGTGTGTGTATATGTGTGTGTATATATATATATACATAACTCTTTTTTTTTTTTCACAGGTTGATTCTTGGTTGTTGCCTGATTCCTTTTTTTATAAACCACTTCAAGGATGCCTGCCACATATGTCCACATTGTCACCATGTTCTTCATGTGGAGAGGAGGACATTCTTCAAATGATGACTCCTCAACCAGCGTGTTCAAGTCAAGTTTTATGTTTGGTTGTGTAACAAAAAATCCCTTCAGTAAAACTGCAATATTTAAATAGATTTTAATCTCATTTTAAAAAAAATATATGAATAAATGTTTTTCTGTGACCTAGTCTTGGCTTTTTTTCAAAGAAAAATATAAACGGTACATTTTTATGGGTTTTGATGTTGTACTTTTCCATGACCAAGTTTGTTAGCCTGTCACCAGATGTAATTATAAAAAGGATTAAACAATTTTCTAATGATTTTAAGCTTCTACCTGAAGTAGCTGTTGAAAAAAAGAAATGAATCGTTACACCGTCTGCCATCGGAAGATTGCAAAATAGAACTGCTTCTGCAACCTTTAGGATAAACTTCTGCCAAAACGTGTGTGTATATGCATCTATATTAAATCCTGATGCTAGCACATTGCAAAGGAAATGTAAAAGTGCAAACCTTTCTAGAGATTTCAGGAAAAAAGGTGAGATTAGAAGTAAGTGAATGTCTAAAAGACAAGGGAGGCCACTGGATCTGCAAACCAGTGAAGATGAGGAAAATTATGTCTTAAGAGATTTCCATGTCGGACTGCATTGCAGAAGAAACTGAAGACAGAAAGTCAGGGAATCTGGACCATCTGAAATGTAATTCTCTGTATAAATTCAGTTGAGGGCGATTAGATTTGGTTTTCTTTGAGATGTTTTGCTGCCCAACACAATTGACGTTCTCTCCTAAAAGTGATGACTGAAAACAGTCCTGTATGGTAATAATTCTTTTTGGAGCATTTTTTTTCTTGACTGGCCTGTACCAAAAAGTTGTCTTTGTTTTTAGAAAAGAAAATTATGCTAAATGTTTTGCTAATTTTTTTTCTTTGATTCTATTTATTTCAATAAAGAGCTCCAGCTTTATACAGGAATATGGGTTTTTCTACCCACTAATATCAATGACTGCTTCTTTAGCAGGGCAGTGGGAGCGATTTAGCCACATGGTCTCGCCGTGTGAACACGTAAGGGTTACACTGAGGATGGAAGCCCTTCTGTAAACTGCTAGTCTAGTTAAGCTAAAAGCAATAAAAAGCCCTGCCGTCTAAGTCAGCCTACCATTTGTACCATACTGTGGATAATTAATTTTGTCGGATAATTTTGTAATGGCAATATTTTCTACGTTTTTTAATATTTCATTTAACAGTTTCCTAAAATATACCTGTTAAGTTGTGCTTAAAATGTTTGGTTAATTCACTCATATCTTTTATAACTATTTTCTGTTTCTGCTGATCTATGCTTTAAGAAATCTTTATATAGTGTTGACTTTTATTTTATAGGCATTCTTTTGTGATCCACGAAGACTTTGAATATTTACCTTTTCTTGTGTATGTTTTATTGGACATTCTTTGTTTCTTTGATGTTTAGGAATGCTTCTAAAGCTGAGCTATGGTTTTTCCTGATATATTGACTCCAGATTTAAACTAAGCAGATCTTCTCTAAATCTAATCATTGACTCCTCTGTTCTTATTATTTTGTACCTGCGTGTCATCCTTACCAGTTTGCCTTTAACAGTTGACATAGACTATAGCTACCAGGAGATGGTCACTCATATCCTTATAAGATAATCCACCTATTGTGTTATCAATAAAGTTTGCAAAAATATTATCTATTAATGTTTCTTTTATCTTTTATAAATTACTTTATGTCTCAGGGTTCTGTAGACATACACAGCAATTCCTCCACCATTCATGTCCACTGTGTTCTTATAATAAAATTCATATCCCTCCAGCTCAAAGTCCATCCCCTCCTCATGACTGATTCATGTAGCTGATTATAGATTACAAATAAATTTTTTTAGTGACATTTGACTGTGTCATCTATATATTTGTAGTCAAACTATTCTTCCTTTTATTATAATTATTTTATTTTTAATTATCTTGCAATAGGTTTTTCTCTCTGTGCAGAATTTTAAACTGTTAACTGAAGAATAATTCATTTTAGTTTGTGGTCCAAGTGTTTTATTTGTTTTACTCATGTTTTCAGCTGTACTTGCTTTTATTTTGCTTTTATTTCCCTTGTATTCTATTGCTTGATTCTTGAAAAGCACTTTTAATTGTCTTTGTCCTGAATTGTGCTATATAAACTTGCCTTAAACAAATGCGTGTTTTTAACTCCAACACATAGAACACTACTGACACAAAGTCATCTCCAATTTGCTTATAACTGTCAAAAATATCAGTGGATGTTTTTAGGTTCTGTTCTCTGAAAGGATGAATTAAGTTCGAACTTTTTGGTCTGGTTTGTAGCAGATAGAATGATACTAGACTGTATGACCACAGTTAAGCACATTGGTGGCTTGGTCATACTCTGGCTTCTTTATTTTATCTGGTACTTGAAACCTGCAGCTTTTGGAGGTCACGATGGATTCGATCAAATCAGAACATCATAGGAGATAATCTAATGCAATCTGCTGGGAGGCTTGAGTTTGGTGCAGAGGTCTTGAAATAAACTTTTAAAATACATCTAAAAATATGTGTTTAATTAAAAGAACATATATTTGTCAATCAATAAGTTCAGTTATTCCAGTTTTTCCACTATGGTATTGTTTGCTATTTTTTATTTTATCTGCTCAACAGGGGGAAGTAGGGAGTGTCTCTTCCACTCTGTTAAAAAAAAACAAACAGCCAACCTGGATTAATGGCTACATGTGCACTCTGTGTGTACTAGACATGCTCCCGCTGATCACACTGGAGGATTACAACTGTGGGTTTATTTTAAATCTTTTAGCCTGGGAATAATGTGACTTTTCCTTCACCTCCTCTGAGGCCATAGATATCCCATGAAGCATGCTGCACCACGCCCTCTTTGCTACTCGGATATAAAACGTCAAGATGCTTTCATTCTCTGGTGGACAAGAAGATCCAAGCAGTGATGAACTAGCTGCCAACTGACCCCTGCATGGCTGACGATGCTTCAAGGTATCCTGCTTTTCTCGTTGAACTGATTTCCACCTTGACACTTTCTTTCTCTCTCAACCAGCAGTTTAACAGGAAAACGGAGCTTCTGTCCCACTTGCTCCTTTGTGTTTCCAAAATGCCGTTCATTCCACAACTTTCGATCACACAACCTGTGTCAGGGCTAACTGGAAAGGAGAGACCTGAAAATGCATCATCTAAAAGCAGCGGACCAAGGAAGAAAGTTGCAAGAGAAGGCAAAGCAAACTCAGTCAAGGAGAGACTGGCGTTAAATTTAAAGCAACTGGGGAGAAGGAGCCAGCCAAGCAGTCATCTAACCTCAGCCAGAAGAGTTTCTTTAGGGGAGCTGCAGACAAACAAAAGAGAACGATTGTTGCAGTTGTCTCAAACTGACAGCCCCCGTTCCTCAAGCTCTGGGGAGCACAAACAAGTCAGCCACAACTCCAAAAATAATGAATCTGTGGCAAACACTAGATCTAGAAATAAAGAGGAGATGCATTTTACACTAACGCTCACACCTGAAGCTGTTCTGCTGCTGCAGCGGAGAAACAGTGAGAAACACCAGCGATCATCTGCCAGAAATGCTGTAGGTGGACTCAGCACATCTGGATGCACCACTGACTCTAGAAGAAGAAAGCATCAGTCAATACCTCGTAGGAACAGCAGAGCTGCTGGTAAAAACAATCCAGATGCTCCACTGGGAGACATACGTTCAATTATAAAAATCTCCCTCTTGAATGAGAAACACAAGTACAATGATGTGGAGTATGAAGATGAGGAGGACTCTGGTGTGGATGAGCGAGTGCTCCTGAAATGCACCGAATGGCTGCGTGGACTGGAGAGCACAGCTGTGATGGTGGGGAAGAGCCAGAGTAGGACTGTGAGCAGTTTGGATAGTTTTTAAAGGCTCTATAAAACTTTTTTTTTTTTTTGTGTGGATACATTTGTCAATAAAAATAAAATAATTATACCACTGGATTTGATTTTAAAAATTATCTAACTATAAGCTTGAGAATTTATTAGTTTTGTTGCAAATGTAAAATTTGACTTGTTAAAAGCTAAGTAGATTAGTGTTAATGCTTTTAAAACAAAGAAGGTCCAAGAGTAAATAAAATGCCCCATTCTGTACAGTTTTGACAAATGAACATATTTTTTGAATATACTAGATACTAAAATATTTAAATTTCATTAAAATGATGATTGCAAATCCCTTATAGAGATCTAAGTCTGTGCTATATTAGCAAAAGAGAACAAGAATTTATTTCTTAGAGTGGAGATTAAAGATATCTGGATACTTAAGTTTGCTGCTGAATGTTATTCTACTGTTATTTCTTATCTCTTTTATGCTTTACCTTTATGGTATTTCTGAGTTTAATTTCTTTCTAATTATGTCCTCTATCTTGCATAGTTTGTAGGCAAATAATGTCAATTTGAAACATATTATGAAATAAACTTTGTTTAATTAACCCACACAAGTTTTTATTATTATCATTATTTCTTTTTTAATCTGCAAGAAACATACATATGTGTATGTAGAGGTGGCCGAAGCATATATGATACCCAAGCTACATTTCTATTTGGTGCCCTTTGATATTGTCCATACTCCAATGATGGTAAACTTATTAAATATTAGTAATATCATAATCATGGTGTTCAAAAAATAGGTTCCATGTGGTTAAATAATTTCATTAGTCATGAAGAGGTGATTAAGGGGGATTCTCAAAATTAAGCTTAAAATAAACCTAAAATAAAGATCAAATATTGAATAGGTTCTGGATGCACTTCACTAACGTAATTACACTAACAGAACTAGACGGTAATGGAAATGGGATTACATTGCCCTTTCAAAAATAAATCTTCGAAACCCAGAGACAGCCTTTCAGCAATTCATTTTTTAGAATGTTTTAAATTACGCCCTGCAAAACAAAATTAATAATTCAAGAAACACTCACTCTATATATATATAAAAAGACATGTTCTTTAAAATAAGTCTCAAGTTTTTGTTCGTGGAATATTGCATTTGGAGGGTTGCCCATGACAGCGGCAGAGCTACAAGGGGCGGAACCAGGTGATCTGATGTGTACTCTAATTCACAAGCAGTTCCCCTCTAAATCAGAGGGTGACAGAAGTGATACTCTCAAGTGGAATGTTTCACATTTCAATTGTTTGTATATTAACAATAAACTAACAGCACATAGTTAATAATTCATTACTCACATCAATATGCTAACAATAGATAGAATAAATACATTTATGTGCATAAAATTGCGCTATTTTGAGAAATTCAGTGAAATTAAAGATAAATAACCAATTTTATGAAATGTATGTGTTACTATATGTGTTGGGAGCTGGAGAAGTTCCACCTTTCTCCAGCAGAGTCCGCCGTGGATCCTCTGAGGGAGCCTCCTGCACAGCTGCAGCTCGTCTAGATCATCAGAGGATCCACTACTTAAGCTGTCTTCAGACCTTGCCTCAACGCCGCAGTGTTGTTCCAGTTGGTCAGCGCTTAAGCCTAGATCCTCAGAGTAAATCTATGACTTTTGAATCCAGCTTGGATTCTAACCCCTGTGTCTGTTTTCCAGGAAACCTGTGCCTCCTCTGTGAAAGCTCTGGAAGAGCTAACCTACCGAGCTGACCCTCTGAGCCAAACCTGAAGATTCACAGAGAACCTCCAAGCAGCTCTGGACTTTAGCTGGGTAACCCAAAGCCAAGGTCTGTTCTAAGTAGACGTGAGACGCTGAAGCAGCTACGGACTCTGCTGATGAACTCTTCTCCAGAACCTACAGTGACTCTCCCAAAGCTAACCTCAAGAACCCTCAAGGTACTATCAGTAGACTTCTGGAAATCAAACCCCTGTTGGCAACGCTAACTGAACTGTCTCTCACGCAGACTCCGGTGAACCAGAATCCAGGCCCCGAACCTGAACCAGAATATTCAGTGTGTTTGTGCAAAATAAAACTGTTAAACTTTCATCCTTGTGTCCGTCAGTGGTGTTCTGCATTCTTGGGTCGCTCTCAGTGAACCCATCATGACAATATGTAAATGTTAATATTATGCACAGCAATTATTGATAATAGTAGAGAGGACAATTTTTAGGAAATGTAAGTATAAAATAAAAGTAGATAAGATTTTCTGCCAGAACACAAAGCTGAAAGATAATTTACTATATCTTTAATGTATAAAGCATGGATAATGCATGTAAATACCTGTAATTATTTGTTAGCAAAGGCCTTAGGAAAGTCTAATTTGTCTCTATTTGGAAAATACAGATGCTTGTTAATTTTGCTGCTGGTACAAAGCACATTGGTCCCTGCTTGGCCACCCCTATGAAAATGTTCTGAATACATTCTGAATAATTCTACAGTATTTTTTGTTCTTTTTTATTTTGACTTATTCTATTCTATTCTATTGGGAAGCTTGCTAATTGCTACAGACTTGCTACATGTCATAAAAAATAGGCAAACATTAAGCCTTCTTTTTCTCCAAAGCATTTTTGGAGAGCTTTGTGCATTCACTGTTTTCATATTCAAAAAAGAGGCAAACAGGAAAAGTGTGGATTATGTATTTATTTTCTTCTTTGCAGCTAAAGTTAGCTCCATTACTGTAAGTAGCTTTGTGAGGAATTAGATTTCTGCTTGCCTCTTGTCAGACACTCCCCCGTGCTCGTATCGAGTGTGCTAAGTAGCGGCTTATCAGCCAGAGAGTCAAATGTTACAACACGTGTGTTTAGTGCGACTACGTCACTGAGTGTGAGATTGCACGTGTGTCATTAAACAAACACATTTTTACATTTTTCTGGAAAGTATTATCAGAAGGACAAAAAAAGAATTTTCTTAAAGTACATACTTTAAAAATGGGTCCACATCACTTAAATAAAAACACAATAAAATATAGATAGTTGATGATAAAATTAGCATGTCACTTCCAGCGGTTGATTCGCAGCAGCTGCACATACGTCAGGATCATGCAGACAGTAATGATTCCCAGCAGAGCCACCTCGTTCTGCCAGAAGCCCCACACTGAGTAGTCAATGTCCATGCTCTCCAGAAATAGCTCCCCAGGGAAACTGCAGCACAGAAGAGACCATTATTATCAATGGGTGGACGTTTTTGTTGGCTTTAAAGGCGGTGCTTTAAACACACTCACATGGTTTTGTTGCTGTAGAAAATCTGGCCTTTCATTTCGTTAATATATACAGCCTAGGAAACAAGAATCAAGAATCTGTGTTGTTATCATGAAACATAACAAAGTTATAGGAGGACTTTGAGCTTAGAAGGCACACGTGATTCACAGACAAAAACCTGAGAATTACCCCCGGATAAATAAATAGACATGTTCTATATTCTGAAGAACAGAAAACAAAACAAAAAAGAAATCCAGACAGGTCAGGGAGGAAGACGCTGAGATGCTTAAAGGAGGAGTAGGTTATAAAACAATATCATAAGCCTTGAAAGTTACAAGTAGCACTGATATTCATTTGTGCTATTCATCATTTGAAAAAGATAAGGCTCAGTGCAAATGCAGACTTTCAAAAAACATTCCTCTCCACCTACACGACACGCTGGTAAATAAAGCTATATGAAAAAAAAAAAAAACTGTAATGGTTCTCCACCTCAAACGTGGCCTCTATATGTGTTGAGAAGAGAGCTTTTATTAAGATAAAGTTATAGGAGGTTTAGAATTACATTTATGTATAAGCCATGAAGGAGAAAGCAAACATTCCTGTTTTTCCTCCCAGGAATTTTTTTTTTTTTTTGGCTCAGTTTGCCTGTTCTTAAAGAAATCATTGGAATGGAAGTGTGTTGCAAAGATTATCGTACAATTGGCCTGGTACCACAGGAGATTGTTAAATACCAAACTACTTCTTTTAAATCTTATTTGGATTGGGGGGAATTTCTCTGTGCAGTTAGTGTCGTATGTTAGGTTTTAATATAGGAAAGCATGAAATTATATTTGTTATTTATGTTTTTAACAAGTGTAAGTGTAATTTTTTAAGGGTGACTTTGTAACACCCATCCATCCAAGGACAACAGATGAAAAATCGAAATCTGAAACATTCACTTAATTAACATTTACTTTAATAATGTGGGGGAAGAGGTGTTTGTTCAGACAAGACAATATGTAATCATTTGGACCCACAAGCACAACGTTATGTCATGTGTCTTGTCATTTTAGGTCTACCACGGGGAGGTGCAAGCTGCATACATGGGCCAGAACATGTTGACCCTAGAGGATAAGATGGTGTCTTAATTGCGTAATTAACTTTATTACATCAAGACTGCACCTGTCATCAAAGTAGACAAACGATATCAATAAAATAGGAACTTGTTGTGTTGCCTTGATTCATTGGATTTTTGTATGTGTCTAAGATAGATCACAAGGGCTCAAAGTTGTCAAAGGGGTCAGACTAGTAGAACCCCAACAATACTCAGAACTTGCAGGATGGCCCTTCTAACTTGGGTCCAGATAATGGTCAAAGCCCAAGGCAGACAGAGAGACATCCTGATGGAATAGCCGAAACCCTCCGGATCCATTGGTTGGGAGTGAAGGACAGTATCAGCAGCCCCCAGTGCTAAACAGCCAGATGTCCCTGGCAGCAAAACTGACTGGCACTGAGAAGAAAAAAACTGTGGAAACTTAAAAGCTTTGCAGCCATCAGTAGCAGCCGGAACTCAGGAGGACAGAGGAAGGGAAAGCAGAGCGCAATCTGGCTTGGTGCAGTAGATCAAGGGAGTAGAGGAGGAAGGCATTCCCATTAGAGTCCAACCCTTTCCCTGCGGCGCACTCATCTTGACACATCCAGAAGAACCATAGGCTGTCAGTGTTTATTGTGCTGACCCAAACCATACATAAAGAAACACTACATATTACTAAACAATTCTCCCTTTCCACCACCAAAAGTCGTGCCACAGAACAAGGTCAAGGTACACCTCCATGCTAGCGAGACCAATCATCAGACACTAAAGCCTGAACCCATCAAGCTGAACACACAAACTATTATGAGGCACACTATTGGCAGAATCTAGCATCATAGCATGTGTAATAATGCATTATTACACATGGATATGTAAATAGCACGTTCCCTTATACCTCAGAGCTATAAATGATTTTGTGTTGGTGTAACACATTAGACCCTAACAGGAGACAAATAAATGATCTCATTAAATTTTATAAAATAGGTTGAAGTTTAAAGATATAATGTGTGACAAGCTACAGGAAGTATGGAGACTTTTGCAAAGCATTATATCTTACATTAAGCCCATAACTGAATATACTGATCCACTTCAACCAAGACAGCCAGCTCAGCATGGAGTTGAGATTGACAAGAAAACCACCAAATACCTAAACAGGAAAATTAAGGGACAAAATTAGGAACGCCACACAAAAACAAGCAGAATCAACTCTGCATGTTCAGAAGCTAATTTACTGAAGTTTTTAAGGTATGTGCCCTGGAATCTTACCATCATGAA